TGTGCGGCGTTGGCACACAGAGAGAGTATTCGCCTAACAAACCTGAGAACCCCGGTTCGAATCTCAGCTGGCGGAAATTTTTATTTTTATTTCATAAAAGTGACTAGTCGCTTTTTATACCCGTTCTGGTATAAAGGTGAACAATTAGTCTCTTCATAGGACATGCTCGAACGAAAGCGATCAGTTCATTCCATATAAAGAGATCAAAAGTGGTATTAGTCGCATGCTCCTTTGCGATTACTCCCGGAGTCATCCCGGATTAAGGATTATAAAGGACTTGGCTTTGGGGCCTAAATAGCCTTTGAAAATGTACTACCGGGGCAATAGTCAGATTCCTGAGTAATCTTGGTGTCAAAGCTGACCTCGTTGGGTTCATGCGCCGCATTATCAGCGACAGAGTGGTCGCTGCGGATTTGGGGTTGCCACCATCCAGCGCAGAGTTAACAGAGGCACCCTCCAAAGTGGTGTCCTCTCACTTCTTCTCTGGATCGTGGTCGAAAAACGTTAATACGTGAGAGATATGGCCTTTGTTAAAAGCTTATTTCCGGGCTCTATGAAGCTATAGTTAAGTCCAGTATGTTCTGTGGACTCCTCGTCTGGCGTTAGACCTATAAGAGTTATCGCTCATAGGGATATGGCAGGAAACTATGCGGGTGATGAACTGGGCACCATTTAAGCAAGAAAAGAGAGTGTGGGAGCTCCCTTGAAAACTTGTGCGCTTCTTTTGATGGACCTTGGGTTTACTCAGCGAACGTTGAGCGAAAAACAGAGCTTGCGCTAATGCAAGGTCATTTTGGCTGAGAATGGACCGTGGACGGTGTAGGGAACTTTTTATGCTCGCGAAGCCGGATCTCCCCATTCTGGTATTTGAATTGACTGGCCACTGTCCTATCGAGATTCACGCATTGAGATTAAATATTTTACTGGGCCCTTTTGTCGCAGCTGCGTGGAGGACGACGAGGTGGAATAATTTCAACACTTCCTCTTATACTGCACAGCTTCTGCCAGATTACGACTTAGGTAGTTGGGTTCGTACTTCTTGACTAGTCCCCAGGAGCTCTCCTGTCCATAACATGGTCAAATATAGGATCTTTTTTTTAATATTTATGTAACAAAATATGCCAGCATAAGGATTTTAAATATATACCTGATATATATATATATTTTTTCCAAAAATCCGTAACTTGGTGAAAATATCGACCATCACATGACGTGGTCGTACTCAACTGTTAGCTATTTTGTAGCTGTGAAAAGTATTGGCCTCGTAATTTTTTAACTAAAACAAATCTAATGTATATGAGCCATTATTTTTTAAGTCGGACGGATATCGTAAAAAAAATTATGTCATGTCTCCGATTCGCTTAAATTTTTTTTTTGTTTGACAGACCATATCTCCGAAGAAAAAAGAAAAAAAAAAATTTCTCGAACATGTGTTAGCTTATTTCATGTATAGAACCCATTAAAAAAAATTGTAAGCCAATCGAAAGTGTGACACCAAATTTGGTGCCCGATATGAAAAAGAATGTCTCATATGCGACCTGAAAATTTGTCTCAAACCTGCCTTTTTAGACAATTTCACTTACTATTCAACAGATTTTTGTGAAATTCATAAACTACTATTTGCGTGCTCCTTAAGTTTTATTTTGTTATTACACTTTTGTTTTAGAAACGTGCTTCTTGTTTTATTCCTTAATGGGAAAGAAAGACATGTTCTTCTCTCGAGTAAAAAAGGCAGCTTATTTGGCACTTAACTTTTTTCTGGTTGGCACTTTTTTATCCCCAATATGGCCCTTTATAGGTAGGGATGTTTGTAACCCTGGGAATGGGATCACTTTAATAAATTCTATTATATATGTACATGTACTTTTATATACATATGTATGTATGTGCAGCCGAGTGGTTACAGGTGCATACTACCACTGGTCAAAGCAACAACCCAAAATATTATAGAAAAAGGTTTTTTTTTAACAGCGGTAGCCGCTCGGCAATGTCAAACCTTCGAATGTATTTCTGCCTTGAAAAAGCTTCTCATAAAATCCATTTTCCTTTTGCGGGCGGTCCTTCCATTTGTGTAACAACATCCAGACGCACACCACTTAGCAAAAGTGTAAGCGTCGAAATATTATTGTTCTAATTATGTATTTATGTATGAATATTTATGTATTCTCATACTTATATATGATTATCTAGAAAAGTAACAGTCAACATTTGATTTAAGTTAACAGACGAAGATGCTGCACAGGAAATAAGAGGTAACGCCGTAAACATCGCTCGCCAATTGCAACGGCCAAAGCGCTTCGACGACGTTGACGATGATTCAGCAATGGAGGACATGAATGATTGCAATCGAGCCAATAACAGTGATGGGCGAAACAGCATTTACCGCCGCCAAACAATTTTCAAGTTGCATGAGAGTCGAAATAAAACATCTCGCGATTATAGTGATTTGCCAAGAAACTTCGAAAGGCGGTTCCTTGGCGAAGGTATTTTTTTCGTTTACACAATGTTGCTTTTGTCATACTTTTTTGATATCTGTTATTACTTGGTTTCAGACGAGATAAATGTGAAACACATCTCAATGAGTAGAAAATCATTGGTGATGTTGAATGAAAAGCGTAGTATTGCGAAAAGACGACCCACAGATCAAGTACAGCGTAACACGGACTTTAACAAATATCCTGTAACTTTTTCTCCAACTGGATACACAAATGTAGCTTTTGAGCCCACAATTAGTATTATTTCTAATTACCTTCCAAATGATTCTGGGGAATGGTAATTTTAAAAATGGTGGTGATTAAAATGGTGGCTTCAGATAAGCTGGATTCATTTGTATACATACATATATGTGTATGCATGTGAGCAAAGTAAAAAATCTAAACTGAAAAATTTTATGAAGGGCAAATGTTTATAGCTCCTAAATCAATCAAATCCTCAAACATATGCATCAGACACTCAAAATTAAAAAACAATATATGTATTGGACGCCCTATTTTTGGCCACATGTTTGATTTATGATATTTCATTTCTGGGAAAAAGGGTTTGGCATTGTCTGCTTAGGACGAATTCACTTTTCGTGTCCGGACAATGATTTAAAACCAAAAGGTAGATAACACAGGCGAAATTGAGCTTCGCCCGCCCCTTCAACAATTATAATATTTTTTTTTTTTTATATCTTTGATTTTTTTCTAGCACGTCGAATTTTATTTTTATTGACGATATGCACATTTTAGAATTTTTAGCAATTTGCATGAAAGCTAAAGATTAATTAATTGAGAATACGCGGTAACTTTAAGAAGAATGATAGAAGTAATTAGGAGTGCGATGGGGCTATACTCAGTGTTGCCGCGAATCATTTTTAGTGGTAGCCAAATTCCTTTAAAAAAAGGGCTAAAAAAGAGCTAAAAAAAGTCGTTGTGGTTGCCAAATTTTTTTACTTGTATATACATATATAGCATAACCACTTTGCTAATTTGTTGATAGAGACTCGAGTGGATGATTTAATACTATTATTTATTAAGAAATA